GCGACGATTCACGCTCAGTTGGTTGAAAGAAAGAGACGGCCGGACGAAACAGGTCGTCAATATATCTACGTGATGAAGGGAATAGCAGCATTTGGTAGAGTAGAAGAAAGAGCGTTGATAGAATACGTAATTAACGGGGTGGTAGACGATGAGATGAATAAAGGGATTCTGTATCAATCACGATCTTTAGAAGAGTTGAAAAGAAATATGGAAATTTACGACATTATGAAAGGAAAGTCAAGAGCTACGAAGAGTTCAAGCAGAGGTGATAATGTTGWCAAAAGAGAAAGAAGAACGGAGGAAGTTARGATGACAAAATTACGATGTTTCTCGTGTGGTTCACTCGATCATAATATAAAACAATGTCCGATGGTAGAGAAAGGTCCAAAATGTTTCCGTTGTAACGAATTTGGACACATTTCAAAGACTTGTGAAAAGCGTGTCAACCWTATCGCCGCTTCGGAAGATTCAAAGTCGATGGCGATACAGGATAAAGTTGTGAAAATGKGTACAATACGAGAAAACGAAGAGAAGGGAAAAATCCAGAACCACGCTGAGCGAGAAGATTTAGAAGAAGAAATCAAGAACCACGTTGAACGAGAAGATGTAGAGGAAGAAATCAAGAACCACGCCGAACGAGAAGATGGAGGAGAAGAAGTTCAGAACCACGCCGAACGAGAAGATGTAGAAGAAGAAATYAAGAACCACGCCGATCAAGAAGATTATGCAAGATCCGTCGACGAAGAAGRCGCCGACACAGTGTTGAACGAAGAGACAGCGAAAGGTGTTTTTVATATAACGGTGCGTGAGTTAGATATTAGACCACAGTGTGCGAAGRAAGTAAATCAGTTGATAAAAGATCATAAACCCGTAGAAAAGGTAAAAACTCCGATAGAAGTACGAATTAAGTTGCATGATAATAAATCCGWAGTGTTAAAATCGCGTAGATTAGCTCCGTGTGATGAAGAAATTTTATACGGACAGATAACGCAATACTTGGAAGAAAGTGTCGAAAGTGTCTCACCTAGTGAAGTTGAAAAATTTAAAGAGTTTGACGAAAAAGTAGAAATCGTGCCTCCAGCCAAAGAAGAGATCGCAGAACCAGTAGACAAAGAGGAATTAAAAGAAGATGTTGTACAGGAAAGAATGAARATTAAAGAAGAAGTATTAGCTGAACATGTTGAAAAAATACAAGAGGAAGCAGAAATCAAACCAGAAATAAAAATTGTAGAAGATTTGATAAAGATCACGGTGGAAGAAAGCAAAGAAAGAATACCACGGATAGATGTTGTAAAAAGTAAACTTGAAAAGCCTACAGTAAATGCAGTTGTAATTCCAGAAAAAATAAAAACAACGGTTAAAGTGGAACCCACCGGAGAAATCAAAGAAGAAGAGATTGAAAAAGACGAAACAATGTTGATATCCGAAGAAAAGAAAATAGGAGCGATTAGGACGATTGCAGAACCACGACCATATGAAGATTTCACGTTGGAAAACGGCCTGTTGAGAAAAAGAAAAGAACGCGATAAACAGTACGAAGAAGAAACTCAATCTTCGGGGACCGAAGATTCGCAGAATGGCCGAATGTAGGAGAGTTTTAAGTGTAGCAGAGGTAGACAAAAGCTAGTATTCAGT